CGGCCACAAGGCTGGCCGCGGCGGGCACCTGTAAGAATGTGATAGGTGCAGAGAGGGTGGACGACACCGCATTGCAGCTGACCCTGTCCTGACCCCTGCCTCGGAACCTGCTGCTGCCGCACCTGCTGCTGTGGCTGCTGCGATGGGAGGGGCTGCTGCTTCTGCTGCTGCTGTCACTGAGTCAGGTACCACACCGCTGCTGCACCCCCTGCGGCTGGCAGACCTAATGTGGCTGACGAACCCGGGCGTCACCTCTACCAGCTGCACCAGGAGAGTCAGTGGCCGCTACACGAGGCGCTCCTCCAGCCCCTGCACTCCCGCCGCCGCCGCTCGCCACGTCACCCCCACCGCCTCCGCCGCCTCTGCCCGCACCCTGACCGCCCCTCCTGCCCCTCCTACCGCGAGACCGCGAACAAGACATAACAGCAGCTGCGATCACGTCAGTAGCGGCAGTGGTGAGGGAGGCAGTAGAGGTGGGCAGCTGAAGGTCAGTGCACCCGTGAAACAGTGGAGGGGCACAGCACCAGAGGCAGAGGCTACCGAGTGGAGGTTGCTCTCGGCGTCCTTGAGGCCCGACTCAAGGACCTCGATAGTGAGCTCGCTAGGGTGCTTCAGAAGAAGCGCGTCACGAACCGAGGCAAGGCGGTCAGGGAGGCTAGTGGCGATGAAATAGAAAGTAATCGCCATGAGGGGAGGGAGCAGTGCAAGTTGTGCATCAATGCAAGCACTGCGCTAGCTAGAATCGAGCAAGCGCAGATGAGTGATCAAGTCCAGCAGTGCGCTCAAACGAGGCGAGGTCAGGAAACACGAACGGAAGGAACAGGTGACCAAGAGAGACAGTGGTGGGAGTAGCGTAGCGAGCCTTGATCGGAGTCAGGAACTCACTAGCCGTGCAAACCTGAGTGAAGTGGGTCTCCTCAGACTCAGGGAGGAGGCTGCTGAGGGCGATGAAAGCCGCAACGTCACTCGACTTCCACGCGGTCACGTCAGCACGCTCGCGTGCATAACGGTCACGGTCTGCAGGTGTGGGGTCAGCTGCTAAGGGTGCAGGATCACCGGGCTCAGGAAGATCACCAGAAGCGTGCGCCTCCAGAGTCTCGTGTGCCTGAACCTGGCTCTTTAGGAGGCGACGCGTACGCAGGAGCCAGACCGAGAACTCGAGCGGCCTACCCTCAGCGTCAAAGCGCAGGACCCTAGGGGTCGCCATAGCGGAAGAGTAGAAGTGGATACTGTCAAACTATCATGCTGTGTGTGCTGTGTAGGCTGTACTGGGGTAGCCTATACGGGGTACAACTCAATTAGGGTCATACTTGTATCAACTTTCTGCTCAATGCATTCATTCTTGCTCATTAGTTTCTGACATGGTTTCAGAGCAGTAGGTCCGTAGGACCGTTTTTTTTTTTTGGGCCCACCATTAGCTAGTGACTGACTGCGGTTACTGCGCTACCCCACGCCCTGACCTGCGCTGCGCCGTCAACGCGCCCCCTGCCCTGCCCTGCCTTGCGTCCCGCTGCCCGTGCACGCCCGGCCCCGCGTTGCACTGCCCCGCGCACGCCCTGCCCTGCCCCACGTCGCGCTGCCCCGCGCACGCCCTACCCTACCCCGCGTCGCACTGCCCCGCGCACGCCATGCCCTGCCCAGCGTCGCGCTGCCCCGCGCACGCCCTGCCCTGCCCCGCGTCACGCTGCCCCGCGCACGCCCTGCCCTGCCCTGCCCCGCGTCGCGCTGCCCCGCGCACGCCCTGCCCTGCCCTGCGTCGCGCGCCCCTGCAGCCCGTCGCGTCGCGCGCACCTGCAGCTCGTCGCGTCGCACGCCCTTGCAGCCCGTCGCGTCGCATGCCCCTGCAGCCCGTCCTGTCGCGCGCCCCTGCAGCCTGCCGCGTCGTGCGCCCCTGCAACCTGCCGCGTGGCACGCCCCTGCTGCCCGTCGCATCCCGCGCCCCTACTGCCCGTCGCATCGCGCGCCCCTGCTGCCCGTCGCGTCACGCCCCCCTGCAGCCCGTCGCCTCGCGCGCCCCTGCAGCCTGTAGCGTTGCGCGCCCCTACCGCCAGACGCATCGCGCGCCCCTGCTGTTCGTGGCGTCGCGCCGCCCATGCGCCCCTGCCCATCGCGTCGCCCGTCCGCCCTTCCTGCCAATGCGCCACCCTGGCAGCCTGCGCGCCACCCTACAGCCCGCGCGCCGCCTCTGCTCTGGCCGCGCGCCGCCCTTCCCTTACCGTGCGCCGCCCCGACCTACCCTAGTGCCTGCCCGCAATGACTTCTCTTCGTAGTAGCTGCGGGAGTGGTGGCGGCCGTGGTAGCAGTCACTGTGGAGCTGTTCGGTGCAGTAGTTTCTGGCGGTGGCCTGGTGCAGCTGCAGCGGCGTCCGCGCGAGATCCTTACCCCCCAGCAGCTTCGTAAGTGGTATGTTCTGTCACAATGTAAAAGCTAACTATGGAATGAAAACATACATCAAGATATTTCCGGTGAACCCTAACATAATCCTAGGTCAAGAATGTACATCTGGACTAACAAATATATGCTATAACAAATATAGATTGGCACACCCCCTTAGTCTAGGTGACAGTAGTCTTGTGGAAAACAACACAAATCTCAGGGTGGGTCTCAAGTACATACACAGTCTGAGAGTAAGCAAGGGTCATAAGACCAGTCAGCAAGAACAAGCAAGGGTCACAAGACTAGTCCACAAGAATAAGGCAAATCTCAGGGTGGAGGTGAAAGTCACCACACACTCCGAGAGCAGGCAAGGGGCCACAAGGCCAGTCCACATGCAGGTATATAGCAAATACAAGAGATGCAAAAGTACAAGACAAGCAGGACAAAGCATCTCTACGTAAGCAAGTGAGGACGGGCAGGCACAAGGCCAAGCTGGGTGTAGAAACCCTGGTGCTCACAAGGCGGCAACGCCTTGGTGAAGATATCTATCGTGTTAGCCTCAGAGACCACACGTCAAACGAGTGCCTGGCCATGCTGCTGCAACTCACGTAGAAGGAAGTAACGAAGCTGGATGTGCTTCGCCTTCCCAACCAGTCGGGGCTCCTCACACAACAGGACAGCAGACTTGTTGTCGGCGAACAAGACTGGGGGAGAGCGAGGCCGCTCACCAAGGTCGGTGAGAAGGACAGACAGCCAACGAAGCTCCTGAGCGGCCATGGCCGCAGCGTACACCTCTGCCTCACAGCTGGAACCGGCGACGGACGACGCTCGAGTCGACCGCCACGAAACAGCACATGTCCCGAGGCTAAAGGAGTACCCCTGTGTAGACCGACGCGTCTCCGTGTCGTCGGCCCACGACGAGTCCGAGTAACCTGTGTGTGTAACTGGCTGCTTCCCTCTAAGGACAAGTTCCATGCCTAATGTACTCGCCACATACTTCGCCACCCTCTTAGTAGCGTACTAGTGGGACGGTCGGTGTCTCTCAGGCGCAACAAAGCGCGCAAGGACGCTAAGAGGGTAAGCTAGGTCTGGGCGAGTGCAGGTCATCAGGTACATGAGACAACCCACCAGCTCAGGTTATGGACAACTAGATTCAAATGACTCGTCCAAAGGTGGAGCCTTGAACCCATGATCCACAGCAAGAGGGGTGAGCTATACCTTGGAGAACGGGAAGCGGAACCGCGTGAGGATCTGCTCGACCGACGGGCCTCTGGGGACACAGCACAACTGAGGGGAGATCGACGAGTCCACGTTACTGTGTCCCGCCGACCCTCGACGCAAGGAGTGCACGACGGCGCAGGCGAGCAAGGAAGCGGGGCAAGCGACTCTGGGAGTCCTGAGACCAGACGGTGACGTGCCATCCTACTGAGACGTGGGAACGACGGGTGACCTAGACGGTGGTGCCTGAGGACCGATGGGTGGGTGAGGGACCGACAGTCATACGACACAGCAGCTACCTGACCTGACCTGACCCAGTGTGGTGGGACCTAGTGTGTAGTGAGTATAGACCAGAGCCCGGCTCCCTGTGAAAAGTTGCCAGAGGGGCCCCAGTGGTACCGACTCTCCAGGAGGCAACAGGCTCGTCCACTAGGAAAGTTGTGACCACTCCTAGGTAGTGGAGGTGATTGACACCCACCAGGTTCCTGGAGAATGAGGGGGTGTAGTAACCTATGAGAAACGCAGATGGAGCCGCCGGACACGGGAGAGTGGTGGTGCTGCGGGCAACTACAGGTCCCACAGAGGGGTCAGCCAAGGCGACAATGACTGGAGTGCGCAGTGGTGTGAGGTCAGTACAGTCGCGAAAGAAACAGCTGGACGCTCCAGAGTCTAGGGTGAAGGAAAGCGGTGCTGTCTGTGAGGTCGTACACGAGCCAGCGACAAAGGCTGGTGCTAGACTAGTAGTAGCTGCAGCTCCTATACAAAGACCCTCAGAGGCGCTTGGATCGGAAACAACACACGCACCAAGACTCGAAACGCAGGTCTCTACTCGTGCAACCCGGAAAGTTCCTAAACCAGGTAGGTGAGACTCATCTGGTGCAGCAGTGCGCTGGCGAAGACGCGAGGGCCAGTGCGGTGTAATAGCGTGGGGACCAAAACGCTCACGGTGAAGGTCGTCGAGTCGACGGTAGCAGCTGGACGCAGAGTGGTCAGGACTCCAGCAAGTAGTGCTAGCACCAGGGCCTGTCAGGGACCGACGTCTCGCATACTGTTAGCTGAGCCACTGCTGGGGGCGCTACACTTTGGACCCGCAGGTTCCCACTGCCGGGAATGCGGCGGCTGGACCTGCTACTGTAGAACTCTAGTACACGCCATGTAAGTAGCTAGAAACGGGGGGGTGCGCCGGGGGTAGCCTAAGCCACTGCTGGTGCGCTGGGGGCAGCCTGTTCTGCTGCTGGTTCTGCTTGGGGCAGCCTACGCTGCTGCTATTTCTGCTGGGGTAGCCTAAGCTGCTGCTGGACAGGTGGGGCTGCTTGTGAGAGTACGATGGCTTATGCTGGCTTTGCTAGCTTGCCTAGACTTTGTTAGGCTATATCTAGCTTGGGTTTATTTTATCATGCATAGATATGCTTGATTTCCTAGGTTAGGTGCATTCCTATATTCTATTATAGTTATAGCACCGAACCAGGTTACGTGTACCGAACTCAAGCCTATTAGGTTTCCACCGAATTGCTTTCTACTGAGTTTGGGAAGGTTCTGTTCGGGGCGCTTCGCGACCCTCAGAATATTCGCGTAACACCTGGGTAACTGGCCTTGTGTCAAGAATATACATAGCCTCGTGTTGTACCCAGGTGAAACATTCAATTCAAACTCTCTTTTCTGAGCTTGATCCTAGATCCTCACAGTGCTGGACAGGTGGGGCTGCTGGACACGTGGGGCTGTTGGACAGGTGGGGCTGCTAGACAGGTGGGGCTGCTGGACAGGTGGGGCTGCTGGACACGTGGGGCTTCTGAACACGTGGGGCTGCTGGACACGTGGGGTTGCTGGATAGGTGGGGCTGCTGGACAGGTGGGGCTGCTGGACAGGTGGGCCTGCTGGACGAGTGGGGTTGCTGGACAGGTGGGGCTGCTAGACAGGTGGGGCTTCTGGATAGGTAGGGCTGCTGGACAGGTGAGGCTGCTGGACAGGTGGGGCTGCTGGACAGGTGGGACTGCTGGACAAGTGGGGCTGCTGGACAGGTGGGACTGCTGGACAGGTGGGGCTGCTGGACAGGTGAAGCTACTGGCGCATTTCTAGCAGTTGCTGGCGCTGCTAACACGGTTCTAGCGGCTGTTGGCGCTGCTAACACGTTTTTAGCGGCTGCTGGCGCTGCTAACACGTTTCTCGCGGCTGCTAGCACTGCTAGCATGGTTCTAGCGGCTGCTGGCGCAGCTAACACGGTTATAGCGGCTATTTCCAGGCGGGGTGATGGGTTTCAGGTCTAGCGGCGGTTAAGGTAGCGGGCTTCAGTTCCTGGGGCGGCGCATTTCTGGTGTGGCGGCGGTTTTCTGCAATTGGGGTGGCAATCGCGGGTGAGGCGACGTCTAACAGACTGGGCTGCGGGTAAGGCAGCGGGTAGGGCCGCGTCTAACGGGTGGGGCCGCGATTACGACGGTGGGGAACGGGCCACGGGTCACTCGTGCGCGCGGCTGCTGCTGTGCGTGCGTGCGACTAACGACGGGGCCGCGGCACCCGCTAACAAAGGGGCCTCGGGGCCCACGAACGAAAGGTCGTGGGGCTCGCTAACGAAGGGCCGCGGGGCCTGCTAACGAAGGGCCACGAGGCCCGCTAACAAACTGCCGCGACGGGTGACGGGAAAAACGGGCAGCGATCGACAGGGGGGAAACGGGCGACGGGCGACCAGGGGGGGGGGGTCTACGGGTGACGGGGCCTAGGGTAAGTGCGCTACGGGCGGTCTAGGACGGGGCGCGACTAGGTGGGCCCATAACTTAGTCGAGGGATTTTTCCGAAGGGGAAAATCTCGCTCGGGTCAACCTAGCTCTATACCATGTCATAATGTAAAAGTTAACTATGGAATGAAAACATACAGCAAGATATATCCGGTGAACCCTAACACAACCCTAGGTCAAGAATGTACACCTAGACTAACAAATATATGCTATAACAAATATAGCTTGACACGCTCAGCGTGGGGCGTCTCGGAATAGTGCTCGCTGCCCGTACGTCGTTCGCACAGGTGATCGGGCTGGTCAGACTTGCGGGACAGTTGGTCATACACAGTCCCGCTGCTTCTCCTATTTGAGCGACACCTGGCGTGCAGAGTTTGGCAATACCGCTGAGCCCCCCAGCTTGCTAGAGCTGCTTAGGCAGGGTGTGGATATATTTGCTCTAGACTATGACGCTATCCTCACTGCCATGTATGCTTTCACTATTAGTACTCAGGGTGACTATTACCTGTGTGTGCCGCCCGACCCTGGTATAGAGGCTAGCTCTAGGTGCCGGTGAGTCTGCTCTAGGTGCTGGTGAGTCTGCTCTAGGTGCTGGTGAGTCTGCTCTCTCTGGTACTGCACCTGCTGAGGCCTTGCACACCTTCACGCTTGACTAAGGTGCTTCCCGCTGCTTCTTTTGTGACAGCAACACAGTCACACCACTCGCAGCACCAGTTGCAGTCTCTCTGGCTGACCCCTCTGGGGGACCGGTTCTTGCACGTTCCTCCACTGTTCTCCCGTGTCCGGCGGTTCCGTCTGGCTCACTATCAGGTCTTCTCCTCCCCTCGTTCTCTACGAACTTGGTGAGTAACGCTGTCCTTCAGGATGCTTGGGTTGATACCTTTATTCCTGGAGGACAACGTGTGGCGGTCTGCACGTGTGCACGGACGGGCCGTCACCTGGCCACGTTCACCCGTCGGCCCGGGTCGAGCCTGTACACACTGACTACTGAGCCTCCTCAGGTAGCTGCGTCTGCGTCCGCGTCAGGTCAACTAGCAGCCCCCTGTTTGTGTCGCCTCCTGTCGCATCAGACTCTCCTTTGGCACCACCGCCTTGGTCACCCCTCCTTGCCACGCCTCCGTGGAATGCACTCCCGCCTCCTTGTCTCTGGTCTTCCCAGGTCCCCGCCTCCCCTCCCAACCTCGCCTGCCCCTCCCTGCCTTCCCTGTGTCGAGGGGCGGCAGCGTGCCGCTCCTCACTCCTCCTCGTTTCCCCCGACGACTGCTCCCCTGCTGACTCTCCACATGGACGTGTGGGGCCCAACCTGCGTCCAGGGACAGGGCCGCAAGCGATACTTTCTGCTGGTTGTTGACGACTACTCGCGTTACACCATAGTCTTCCGCTTGCGCAGCAAGGGGGAGGTCCCTGATGTTTTGATCCCTTGGATCCGCGCTGCCCGTCTCCAGCTCCGTGAGCGGCTTGACACGGACCTTCATGTCCTGCGTCTGCACTCTGACAGAGGTTGTGAGTTTTCCTCCGACCTCTTGCGGGAATTTTGTCGTGGGGAGGGCATCCTCCAATCTTTCACGCTTCTTGCCTCTCCGCAGCAGAATGGGGTTGTTGAGCACCGCATTGGCTTAGTCATGGAGGTCGCTCTCGTACCTCCATGATCTATACGACTGCTCACCATTTTCTGTGGTCATTTGCGGTCCGGTACGCTGTGCATCAGCTCAACCTTTGGCCCTGTGTCTCCTTGCCGGAGACCTCGCCTACACTGCGTTGGACGGGAGAGGTTGGCGATGCGTCGGTGTTCTGGGTCTGGGGCTGTCGTGGCTTTGTCCGTGATACCTCCGCAGACAAGCTCTCCTCCCGCACCATTCCCTGCGTCTACCTTGGCTTTCCCCCTAACGCGCCTGGCTAGCAGTTTTACCACCCCACCTCGTGCCATGTCCTGCCCTCTAAGGACGTCACGTTCGACGAGTCGGTTCCCTTTTACCGTCTCTTCCCCTACCGCACTGCCCGTCTCCCCCCCCCCCCCCCAGCCGCTCTTCCTCGCTCCAGGTCCTCCTCCGGTAGACCCCCTCCCCCCTCAGGGTCTTGCTCCTTCAGGTGTGTCTCAAGTAGACCCACTCCCCTTGGTTGAGCTTGTCAAGGTCACTGGTGACTCTGGTGCTGCTCGGGGTGTTGAGTCTGGGGGTGTTGAGCCTGCGGTTGCGGAGCCTGAGCATACGGAGCCTGGAGGTGCTGAGCCTGCGAGTGCGGAGCCCCGGGGTGCTGATCCTGAGGGTGCGGAGCCTGGGGTGCTGAGCCTGCGGGTTTGGAGCCTGGGGGTACTGAGTCTGAGCGTGCGGAGCCTGCGGGTGCGGAGCCTGGGGGTGCTGAGTCCGGGGGTGCTAAGCCTAGGGGTACTGCGTCTACACTATGGGAGCCTCTCTTACCACACCAGCTTCGCGAGTGGTACATTCGGCGCACCCGCCTTTGGGGTGGTGATGCTGGAGCTGGAGGCCCTGGAGCTGCTTCTCCTGGAGGTGCTGGAGGTACTGCTGGTACTGCTGGTACCGACGGGAGCCTCTCCCACCGAAGCAGCTCCGCAAGTGGTACGCTTGGCGCACCCGCCTTCGGAGTCGCGCTGCTGGAGCTGGAGGCCCTACTGCTGGAGGCGCTGGTGCTGGAGGCACTGGTGCTGCTGGTGGTGGAGGTGTTGGAGGTGATGGAGCTGCTGGTTCTAGAGGTGCTCGTGCTGGAGGTTCTAGAGCTGCTGGAGCTGGTGGTGCTGCTGCTGCTGGAGGTGCTGGAGGTACTGGAGCTGCTGGTCCTGGAGGTGCTTGTACTGGAGGTACTGGAGCTGCCGGAGCTGGTGGTGCTGGTGGTGCTAGAGGTGCTAGAGGTACTGGAGGTGCTGGAGCTGCAAGAGCTGGTGGTGCTGCTACTGCTGGAGGTGCTGGAGCTGCTGGTCTCGGAGGTGCTCGTACTGGAGGTATTGGAGCTGCCGGAGCTGTTGGTGCTGCTGCTACTGGAGGTGCTGGAGCAGCTAGTCCTGGAGGTGCTCGTGCTGGAGGTACTGGAGCTGCTGGTGCTGGAGGTGCTGGATGTGCTTGAGGTGCTGTAGGTGCTGGAGGTGCTGGAGGTGCTCGTGCTGGAGGTACTGGAGCTGCTGGTGCTGGAGGTGCTGGATGTGCTGGTGGTGTTGAAGGTGCTAGAGGTGCTGGAGCTGGAGGCGCTGGAGCTGGAGTCACTTGTGCTGGAGGCCCTGGCGCTGGACGTGCTAGCGCTGGGGGAGCTGGAGCTAGCCGTACAGGTGCTGGAGGCACTGTGCCGCGGTGCCTGTTTTTCGCTCCACCTTCGCCGTTATCCCTGCCGCCACCTGGCTCGGTGCTTCGCCAGGTTCTTAGTCTTTCGTCTTCTACTGGCCTTATTCCTCCCTTTCTGTGTCCACCGCCTAACTAGTCGCAGCCACAATTACGGACAGCCTCACTGGCCTTATTCCTCCCCACTGCCTGCTCCTTCTCCTTACACTGAGCAGACAGACTCTCTTACAGAGCGTCGTGCGCCTGCGTCTCGCCCTGCCTCGCCTGTTCGCGCTGGTCGCACTGGTCGTCGTGCTCCGCGTCCGCGTCCTCTTCCTATCTACGGCACTTACAGTATGACACTTCGTCCTTCCTCTGTTCCACTGCGAGTTCCCCTGCCGTCTCCTCCTGCGTCCTCTCTTCCTGACGGTCCGGACCCTGAGTTCGACATATTTCGTGCTGCGAGTCATATAGTTACGCGTTTCCTAGCCACTGTTGTCATTGACCCTTCGTTTGAGTCCACTGCTGCGTCTGCCTTAGTCGCTGAGCTTGTTGACGTTGCTGCTGCTTGTCATCTCGACTACGCCGCTAGTCTTGCTGCTGAGTCTGAGTCTGTCTATCCTTCGTCCGTCGGGGGTGAGTGTGCTCTTGGCACGGACATCCTTGAGGACAGGCACGAGGACTTTCAGTGTCTTGCAGCTGCAGTACCTCTTCTCGTGTCAGTGTTGCTTGCACCTGAGGGAGACCCGGATGCTCCAGACATCCCGACCCCGCGCTCTTACGCAGAGGCGATTACGGGTTCCTACTCCTCTCAGTGGTAGACAGCCATGGACGCAGACATGGCATCCTGAAAGTCCACAGGCACTTACGTCAACGCAATTCCCCCGCCTGGGGCGAACATAGTCGATGGCACGTGGATTTTCAGGGTGCAGCGGCCGCCGGGTTCTCCGCCTATCTTCAAGGCTCGTTACGTTGCATGAGGCTTTAGTCAGCGACAGGGAGTTGACTTCTTCCAGACCTTATCCCCTACCCCGAAGATGACCACTCTTTGGGTGCTGCTGCACGTTGCCGCTCAGCGGAC